CCAGCTGCTTGGGGGACTGAGGCAGGAAGATCACTTGAGCCCAGGAGGTCAAAGCTGCAGTGAGCTGAGATCACGCCACTCTGTCACCTAGGCTGGAGTACAGTGGCTCAATCTCAGCTCCCTGCACCCTCTGCCTTGCAGGCTCAAGCAGTCCTCCCACCTCAGCCTCTCAAGTCATGGAGACTACAGACATGTGCTACCATGCCTGGCTAATTTTTGATTTTAGGGTTTTTGTTTTGTTTTGTTTGAGATGGAGGCTCGCTATCGTCACCCAGGCTGGAGTGCAGTGGCACAAACTCGGCTCACTGCAACCTCTGCCTCCTGGGTTCAGGCAATTCTCCTGGCTCAGCCTCCTGAGTAGCTGGGATTACAGGCGCCTACCACCATGCCCCGCTAATTTTTTGTGTATTTTTATTGGAGACTGGGTCTCATCATGTTGGCCAGGCTGGTTTTAAACTCCTGACCTCAGATGATCCACCCGTCTTGGCCTCCCAAAGTGCTGGGATTGCAGGCATCAGCCACCGTGCCTGACATGGGGTTTTTTTGGTTTGGTTGGGTTTCGTTAGGTTTCGTTTTTGGAGGGGTGAGTAGAGACAAGGCTTCACCATGTTATCCAGTATTCTCTAGTCTTGAACTCCTGGGCTCAATCAGCCCGCCTTGGCCTCCCAAAGTGCTGGGATTACAGGCGTGAGCCATCATGCCCAGCCCCCAGTGTTCTCAGTGTACATTGGCACTTGCCAATTTCCCCTTTAACCACAGAGACCAGACCCCAGGCCCAGCACCTTCAGCAGGCCAAAGAATCTAGCTAGAATTTGGTAATACTGTTTTCCTTGTAGTTATATTTATAATTGCCATCTATTTATGGCAAGTGAAGATTATTTTTCACTTAAGATAGAGAAAGTTTTCTATTAAAATAAATGTAAGGAGAGAGAAGGAGGTAAATTTAAAGAAGATGGTTAAGCAAATAATGGAGCAGATGGTACACAGAGCAAGCATTCAGATGATGGTATGCAAATAACCAACTCTCATGGGAACCACCTTAGTCCCAAATGTACACCAACCCCATTTATAAACCAAGAGCTAC